CACGTGGCAGCTTGCCACTGGCGCGGGCCGGGCGGCGGCGATGTGTCCGGCGCCGGGCGGACGTGTCCGGCGCGCGGAGGGGAAAAATTTAGGGTTTCGGAGGGGGAGAGATCCGAATTTCGGGGGGGGTCTATTTATAGACATAAGTGGAGCTAGGAGAGTCCAAATGAGGTGCGGTTTTCGCCCACACGATCGTGATCGAACGACCGAGACGATGGAGCTGAGTTTGGTGGGTTTTGGGCCAAAATGGAGGGGTGTTGGGCTGCACACACACGAGGCCTTTTCGGTCCCTCGGTTAACCGTTGGAGTATCAAACGAAGCCCAAATGACCCGAAACTTGACAGGCGGTCTACCGGTAGTAAACCAAGGCCGCATGGCAAGTCTCGGCCCAATCCGGAAATGTTTAATCCCCACATACGAAAGAAAGCTAGAAATGGCCACCGGAGGAGAACGAAGCGCCGGAATGCAAAACGGACAACGGGGAAAATGCTCGGATGCATGAGATGAACATGTATGCGAATGCAATGCACGTGATGACATGATATGAGATGCACGAAAACAAAAACAACACATGGAGACAAAGACCCGAACCCGAGAATTAAATATAACTTAATGCCGGAAACGGCATGAGTCGGAGTACAATTGGGGAAGGTTACATGTGGGGCGTTACAGTAACAGACCAGTGAAGGCGATCCCCTGCCAGTACAGCGGGCTGGCCCCTGAAAATGAACAAACCCTCGGATGGAACCGACATCGAGACGCAATCACCCCATACGCCCATCTCCGACGAGTAAACGCAGGCGAGCGCTGTTCTAGGTTGCTCCCCGTCGCTGCCTACCAGGACCACCCGGAAGTGGTCGACGTCTCCGGCGGCGCGAAGCACCGCCCCGCTGATATCACCCTCCGCCCCGTGGAACTCGAAATTTGGGGGAACGGCCAGGCGGAGCTGGTGGCCGGCGACAGGGTCCCACACAAGCACCTGGAGCCGGATCGGGGGGAAGAAGAGCGCGAGGCCGTGGCGCCATCCGAGGGCGATGTAGTGGTCCTCGAGCTTCAGGCGGAATTCCTCGAGGGGGAGGCGGTCGGGGGCGTCGGGAGCTGGCTGGAAGGTGATTCCGCGGTGTTGGATGAAGGAGCCGAGGAGGAGAGCGCTGCAGTGGTGGTGGATGCGAAAGCGGCGGCGGAAGGCGGGGTTGGAGAGGAGGCGGCTGCAGATGGCGGAGGAGGATCTCGGAGTGCAGGTCGTCGCCTTCCGGCAGCGAGCAGGGGCGGCGGCGGAGGCAGCCCGCCATCGTGTCGCCCTCCCCATCGTGATGCGGGATGTGAAGTCGAGTGCGGCCGTCACAGTGAAGAGACAGAGAAATCAAGCTGACCACCAAACCAAGGATAAAGAATCCCACGCTCGCTTTCAATGATTTTTTTCCTTCTCTCAAAAACCGTAGTAAATTGTTAGTGGGTTTTTCTGGTTTTTCGCTGTATAATATGAAAGGAAAATAGAAGTGCTTGAAAGAGGATTCGAACCCAGGGCTATATAATACCTATCAAGCCCAATAACCAACAGCGAATCAACCTGTGGTTGAGTTGGTTAGGTGGACAGTGGTGTCCCCAACCCACCAGGGTTCAAATCCTGATGCTCGCATTATTCCTGGATTTATTTCAGGATTTCCGGCGATGCGCGTGTATATGAGCGCTTGTGTCTGTACTGATGCTCAAAAAAAGCCCAATAACCAACAAAGCCACCTTTTGTTGTTGTCTATTGTAGAATGACAATATTATTTGAACCTTTCTTATTTCTGCCATATTAGAAAAAAAAATAAAGTATGGCTTGGTAACTTTGGCAATGACCAGCGTGATAACTATGGTGTGAGCAACATGATAACTATACCATGATAAGGCTGGTAACTACAGTACGAGAAGGTTAAAAGCATGGGGAAGTATGGTAATTTAACATAGAAAAAAAGCCCAATAACCAACAAAGCCACCTTTTGTTGTTGTCTATTGTAGAATGACAATATTATTTGAACCTTTCTTATTTCTGCCATATTAGAAAAAAAATAAAGTATGGCTTGGTAACTTTGGCAATGACCAGCGTGATAACTATGGTCTGAGCAACATGATAACTATACCATGATAAGGCTGGTAACTATAGTACGAGAAGGTTAAAAGCATGGGGAAGTATGGTAATTTAACATAGAAATTACCGGTGAAATGTTTCAAAAACTTTTTCCCCTTGGATGAAAGACACCATGGTGTTTAAACGTAAGATATTAGTTATCAAGTCTACAATGATACATCATCCTGTTATTTACACAGAAATTATCGGGTGTATGTTTTTCAACAAAAAAAAATCAGATCAAAAGTTACAGTGGCGTTTGTATGGGAGTTATCAATTTTGTATGTTTCTACTACCATGTTATTTACACAGAAATTAGTGGGGCATCACCCTCCACCCCCTCCCCCCCCCCTCCTCGCCACAGTCGCCATATTTACCAGGATCGGGTACATAAGTTATCAAGTCTGCGATGTGTGAGTTATCATGTTATTTGCATAAGAGTTATCGTGGTATGGTTCAACAACTCCTCCCACCCCTACCCCCACCGACAAAGTTATCATGACTGGGTACATAATTTATCATGTATACGATGTGTGATTTATCATGTTATTTGCATAGAAGTTACCGTGGTATGTTTCAACGACTCCCCCCACCCCTACCCCCGCCGACAAAGTTACCAGGACTGGGGACATAATTTATCATGTCTACGATGTATGAGTTATCATGTTATTTACATAGAAGTTACCAGGACAGTGATGCGTAAACTATCATCATATTTACACAGAAGTTATCGAGGGTATATTTCATCAAAACCCCTCCCTCCGGCGGAGGGAAAAGTTATCATGTTTGCGGTGTGTAAATTATCATGATATTCACATGGAAATTACTGGGGTATATTTCATCAACTTTTTCTGGTTTAAAAATTACCATCGTGTTTGCATGTAAGTTATCAGGTCCGCAGTGCATAAATTACTAGGCTATTCACATAGAAAATTACCGGTTGGTATATTTCAACAACTTCTTTCACCTCGGGCTAAAATTATCACGGTGTGTGTACGTAAATTATCACGTTTGCGGCCCAAAAATTACCGTCTTTCATAAACGACCTACCACCTTCCCTTCGTCAACATCTCCTACCTCTCGGACTGAATATTCTTTAGAAGGATCATTGATCACATCACCAAAATCATTTGCGCTATCATTCGAGTGTTGGCGGAGATACCTACTTCCATCATAAAGTGGAACAACAACGATAAAATAGAGAAAACTCATGGAATTAAAAAGAGAAAATGTATATTTTATAAGAAATACAGTACTAAATATCATGATCAAATAGTTTAGCTTTATCCAACTTAGCACGTACCTAGACAGTGTGGAGTGGTTAGTGTATTGAGGTCTTCCTTAGCTTCATGTCACAGGTGCTCAGTTCGAGTACCCGCATGCAATTTTTCTTTGCCCAACCTGTTCTGTTTTTAGATGGTTATTAATACCTGCGGAAAAAAGGAAAGTGCGGGTAATTAATTCAGCGTGAAAAAAGGGAAGTGCGGGCGGGAAGGTAATAATCAATGTGATTTTGGGGAGGAGCGAAGGGATTGTTTCCGTGGCACACGCAGGACTACAGTTAGTTTCCGCTAAAAAATCACGATCATGTGATCCAGATCCAACGACGCGCAGATTGTTCGGATCTGTTAGCGAATTTCCAGTCGGCAGGAGAATAGCTTTCTCGTAAAGAAATATAAAAGACAAATTTCAGTGCTTCTAAATAGCATTTAACGACATAAGTTTTTATCTTTTTTGCACACGCCACAAAAAATGTTATTTTTCCGTAAAACTTTGTGCACACACATAAAACATGAAGACGTATCCGTGCAATCATTTTCAGATATTTTTTTTAGCATTTAGAAATATGTTTTTCGAACTGGGTTCATATATACTCGGGTTCATCCATGCACTTCCCAGCGTTTAGATCACTACTTCAGAGCATCTCCATTTACGCTCCCAACAGCCCCCCAGGACGAGTTTTTTCGCGCTCGCAACAGAGGGAGTGACCAATAAGGGAGCCCAGTTTTTTTTTCTCTCTTCGATTCGAGGCGAAGTCCACCATACCCGAGACATGGATATTTTGCTCCAGGCTTTAGCGAACTGAAGCCTTTACAGCGTTCACAACAAAGATAGAAAAATAAAATAAAAGATTTGATACAGACCCAAAGGGCGAAAGGTACGAGGCCTAACAGAATAAAACAAAAGCCGCGATGGTGAGGTAGATCATGCCGCAAGATCAGCCTCCATGCTGATCAATGAGCACCCTGTGACGCCGAAGCTTCGACGCAAGAGATCTGGGTTTGTCCATCAGCACCTTAATGATGGATGCGTCGTCCGACTTGCTCAAAAGCTTCCATAGCTGCAAGAAAATTGCCATTTTTTACACGGCATCAGCAGGGTGTTTGATGAATTTTACTTCAATTAGAGCTTTGTTTCTAGTATACCAAAGGGCCCATGTCATGGTTGCGAAGATTAACCACGTAATCATATGGGTGCGTTCGGATAATCTAGATGATAACATGTGAAACGCCCTAAACGATCTCGGTGCCCAACTGCACCGAGTGACATCGCAGATAGAACCCCACAAAAATTGCGCAAGGATGCATTTGAAAAAAAAATGCGGCCAGTGCCTTTGATCATGCCACATAGGGGACACCGGCCATCCCCTGGGCCGTATCGTTTTTTGACTTGAACAACTATAGGGAGCCTATTTCACATCAACTGCCATAAGATTTTTTTTTTACTTCTATTGGGATGCATGCCTTCTAGATATCCATTGCTTGCAAAGGTGCAGCGCCATTGTGCAAGGCATGGTACAAGGAGCTAGTCGTGAACTGACTGGAAGGTTCTAGTTTCCACCGAAAGGTGTCCGGCTCCGTAGTGGGGGAGATGATTCATAATAAGATCATTAATTGGTCCCATTCTTCAACTTGTAGCGGTCCAAGAGAGCGGCGGAATTGTGGACACCACTATCCATTCCTCCAATTGTCGTTGACTAGTGCATTCAAGAGTGTGGTAATAGCAAATAGCCGGGAAAACTTGTTGCAAGTGGGTCTGGGCCTAACCACACATCTAACCAAAAGGTGGTAGACTTGCCATTACCAATAGAGTGAATCACACCGACTCACAACAAGTGTCTGATCTTTACTATTGCCTTCCAAAATTGTGATCCGTTTCTACAGGAAGCTGTTGATAACGGAGCATGCTATAAATATTTGTGTCCAATAATATCCAACCATAGGCCACCTTGTCTAGTCAGCATTTTCCAAGCCCACTTAGTCATCAGGCATCAGTTCATGTGTTTGGTATTCACAATACTGATGCCCCCAACCTCCTTTGGTCATAGATCGTACTCCAATGAATCATGTGATACTTCTGCTTCCCGAGTTCTTTACCTCAAAAGAACCAGGAACACACCATATCAAACTTCGCATGAACTCCATCTTGGTTAAAAAGAAACCCATGGTAAACATTGGTAGGCTAGACAAACAGGAATTGATCAGAGTTGTTTTGCCACCCCTTGACTGGTATTCTCCCACCCAAGGCTCCACTCACTTGGCCACTCTATCAGTAATAAAGAGGAAATTCTCGATGGTCAAATGCTTGTTTGCTAGTGGCATGCCCATGTATTTAATTGGCAAAGTGCCAAGTATGCAGTTCATAATGTGTGCAGCCCTGAGGCGGTCCTCTAGACTCCCTTTGGTAACAAATGCCTCACTTTTATCGTAGTTGATTTTAAGGCCAACTAAGGTCCGGGAATACTCCCTGAATGTGGCCAGCCTTCGTAGCTCCCTCTAGAATGACTGTCAAGCCTCGACTGAAGGAAATATGCCCTAGAGGCAATAATAAAGTTATTATTTATTTCCTTATATCATGATAAAGGTTTATTATTCATGCTAGAATTATATTAACCGGAAACATAATACATGTGTGAATACATAGACAAACAGAGTGTCACTAGTATGCCTCTACTTGACTAGCTCGTTAATCAAAGATGGTTATGTTTTCTAACCATGGACAAAGAGTTGTCATTTGATTAAACGGGATCACATCATTAGTTGAATGATCTGATTGACATGACTCATTCCATTAGCTTAGCACCCGATCGTTTAGTATGTTGCTATTGCTTTCTTCATGACTTATACATGTTCCTATGACTATGAATTATGTAACTCCCATGTGCCGGAGGAACACTTTGTGTGCTACCAAACGTC